TCTAAAACTAATGATAATAATTAACATTCATGTATGCTTCCCTGTTTAGTCAGTCTTTTGCAAGCCCAATTTTTCTTTCATGATCACAGTATTAAGACAGTTATTTTTAGATTATTTTATGAATATATTGCAAAGACTAAGAAATCAGACTCAATAATTTGTTGACTATAAAAGTGAATGAAATGCAGATCTCCAGCGTCCAACAAGGTATTTGTATCAATTCTTGCATGTCAAGCAAAACTTTTGTAAAATATATCATATACTTGAAAGTTTGATTGTAAAACAAGAATGCAGAAAGAATAAGTAGTATCATATTTAATCGTATTTTACATTGATTTTTATGTCAAGTTTACCAATATTAAATAGCTTCTGTTGTTGTTGTTTTTATAAATTATAGTTTAGAAATATTATTTAATACCACCTTCTTCTAACACTGTTTCTGGTACATATTTGTACTATACCCTTAAACATGCTATTAGGGAATTGTGTAAAATATTTTTAAAGATGTTCTTCATCGACATTTTCCTTTTTATTAATTGCTTATTCACCAAGTATTTCTGAAACTATCAAAGGAAGAAAAATATCAAAGAAAGAAAGAAGTAGATACAGCCAAGGATGATAATGCTCATCTGGAATATCAGGACTGAGGAATCTAAGACGGGAAGAATTCCATGATTTGAGGCCAGCCTGTGCTCATAGAGAGGTCAAGGCTAACCTAAATTATATAGGTAAACTGTGTCTCAAAACAAGCATACATATAAAAAAGTAGATACCAAATATATTAATTATAAAATTAGTAAGCTAGTAAACTAGGCCATTTTGATTTTAATGTATATCACATTCTTCATGCTTCTCTAATTTGTGTGTTGCCTAAATATGAGGCCTGGTAACACAAAGTGTCTCACATCTTAATAAGCATCAAGCCTAGATCACTGAACAATTTCTGATTGAGTTGGTCTGGACAATGCCTAAGCACTGACTTTGTACAAATGCACAGAAGATGCTGCTGCTTGGAAACCCACAGTTTATGCCTCCCCACCACAGGGCGTCCTAAATTAGATGGAAGAGCAATGTTGAAATGCACCCTTCAGAGGTGTTTCCGTTGCATATGTAATTCTTTTATTGTCCCTTTTTTGTTGGTTTGTGATTTAACTGAAAAAGCACGATTGCTTATTTTTATACAAAAAAGTAACTTTACATAAGAGTACATTTTGTCATTAACAGTTTTTCCTTATAAAAATTTTATTAGGCACACATAAAGTTTCAATACGAGGAAGTGTGATTTAAAAAAACTGAAGTGAATGTTCAAAATTTTAAAAAATGTTATCACAGTAAAAATGACACATTGGCATTAATCCTTAGCAAAATAGTTCCTCTTGCTGCAAATATGCTTATCTCACTATTCTTGTCACTTTCTGAAGCATTCTGAAAGTACTCTTTCTTGAGTGTTTTTAGTTGCACAGTCAGGGCTGCTGTTACGTCCTCAGTCAATTCAAGCTATTATTTATACTCATTTTGATGCTGAGGAAAAAGCCAGATGTAGCAAGTACCAGACGTGAAAAATAAGCGAGGTAAAGACAAACCACAATGTTTTCAAAGAGTCTGCCTTTCTGTTAGATGTCACTCTGTAGAAATAGTCACTGTATTTTTAGTCACATTTCCTAAACAGGAAACAGGACTTCCAGAACTGCTTCAGAAAAGGAAAGAAAAGATGAAATATGTGTGTTTGGAGCAAAGGAAAGTGTTTTCTGGGGAATCAGTGGCATTGTGTGTTTCACTATTATAATTTTTAAAATTTAAACATTTACTTATATTTTGATCACCTATGTACTTTCTCTGGGGGAAAAATCCTTATGAATACAAAGATACAGGTAAAGTGCTCACTTTTATATCCATGGAGAATTTGAAATTCATTTATGAATTAAAGCAAATACATATATGTTAAGTGGCACAAAATACTGTTACAAAAATAATTTTTATTAATACTGTTCCTCTGATATACAGCATTTCAGTTGAGGAAAGATGGTTCAGAAACTAAGGAATGGGAAGTGCTGTGTCTTAGTTACTTTTCTTGTTGCTGAGACAAAGTACCAGACATTCAAAATTAAATGGGGAAAGGTTTATTTACCTCACAGTTTGTAGAGGTTTCACTGCATAATTGGCTGACTCCAAGGCAGGGTGGTATTGCAGAAGAAAATCCTTTAGTGGAGGGCAAGAAGGCAACAAACCAACAAGAGACGACCACAGATCTTCCTGCCCCTTGTGTCTTATCCAGACTACTTGAGGCAGGTAACATTCACTTCCTTAACCCAAGTGCCCTTGATCCGAGCATTGCACCGTGAATCAATCCAAACATCTTGTACACTAGATCCAGCTACCTCCAAAAAACTCCTGCCTATAACCACATGAGGCTTTGGGGGGACATCTAGATATAAGCCATAACAGACTATCTACCCGTTCTTCCTACAGCCCCATGAAATAGGAATTGTTGTTGCCAATTTGCAAATGAAAGAACAGAAGCTGCCCTTTCCATTAGCAGAATTTCAAGAAGACTGGGTTTTAACCTGCTGACTCTTTGCTTGACCCCATACTGTTTGCACTGCATCACACTATTTGAAACAAATCTATACCGCCTAATATTTTAAATTTACAAAGTTTGTAGGCTGACATATTATGTGATCCTTCATGCTGAAGAATCACATTTGCTATAGTATGGGCAAAATAGTTACTCATTGTTGCCTGGTAGAAGATATAATAATGATGACACCTGACGTAAACTGATAAATTTACTCTCTATGTATCATGATCAAAATCTCTGTTAAAAACCTAAAAACTAATTTAGTTCAATCAGTATAATTGAAACCCACAGAGAAGACACAGAATAGTATGATGTGTTGCTTGATGCTTTACTTGTTTGTATGCAGTAATGACTAATATAAATTATCTTGGCATTTGTTGTATGAGTCATACATATAAATCATCTTTTAGTGTCAGTTATACTCCTATTGACAACATGTACTGCTTAAATAGATTTTCTTATGTAATTTTGGAACATAAAGGTTATTTTGTTTTTTTTCAATTTACACTACATCAATTTATACATTTTTTAAAAGCTTGTTTTAGGTGATTATATGTCTGTTAGGAGGATAGCCTAAATTAGTTCCTAGAGTCATATCATAATTTTCAAAAAACATAATAACATGCATGGATAAATATGGCATTGTATTATAAAAGTTAAACTGCTACAATATGATTATATATTTAAGAAGTATAGTTTTATTAAGTTATAAGTCATTTAGATTTAGAATGCATTTTAGAAATTAATATTACTACTATTGGAGATTAATTATGTAAAAGCTAATACACCCAACTGTTATGAAAATTTCAAAAATTAAAGAATTTATGTGTGAATATATACTGAGCAGCAAGGAGTGAATAACAGTTTACTAATGAGGAAAAAAGCCTACCTTCTGATACATTTTGTTATAAAAGAGAAAGTAGGTATTTTTCAAGGAAACATTGGTTCATTAGAACTGAAGTAAAATCCTTGCTGTTTCCAGTGGCAAGCTTTGTGATTTCATAAAATTAATGTTTCCAGATTTCTGTTTCTTTATTAATACAATGAATGACATCACATATAATATCTTAAAATTCTTTCAGAATCCATAGCAATTCCCATGCTTCTGTGACCATAGACTCCTAATCACTCCCCATAATCTTCCAAGGGGTAAATCCCCTTGTATTTCTGCTATTCTTGATTTTTCAACTGTTCAATTCACAGTAACTTATTGAGTAATAAATATCATAAATACTGTACGTTCTGAAGTGTTTATTTTTTGGCAATTACACTCTATTGTAATTTACTAAGGCCATTTTTGACTCATATAGGGTTTTCAATTCAGTATTCAAAAAGGTTTGACTTTTATCTTTCAAGTCATTTAATGAATGTTTGCCAGAGTGCTATCTTCTGTGTAGAAGCCTGTCCTAAAAACTTTCAGCATCTGTGTGATCCATTTTTTGGAGACTCATCTTCTTTGGTCATTCGTTCAATTGCTTTAAGGTTCTTCTGGACTATGTTCTGTATTCTTGTCATAGGATCGTCGTCTCTGCTCATTCTTATCACTCTAAGAAGCCCAGTGCTGTATAGTAAAGTTGTCTTGGACTTGAGCCACAGATCTGGGTTTGAATTTTAGCTTTGGTATTTGCAAGGTGAAACACTCATTTTCTCACAGTTTAAAGGACACAAATAACCCTTTCATCAAGACTGTTGTGAATACTAAAAATGTATTGCTTTAGAAATTTTTATATGAAAATTATTATTGGAATTTTTAACTGTTCTTAGTATAAATCTCCATGAGTCATTATGAAAAGATTCTTATTTTCAATAGGACAAGGTAAGAATTGACAGTATAATGTAGAAAACTGACAGTAGCCTAGAACTGCACAACCCATTTCAAACTGGTACATACAGAAGTTGTATTCTTGTTCTGTACAATAATAGACAACAATTATAAGGTATATAAATATATTTGTTATTTAAATACAAACAAAGTGTTAAAATCCTATGTACTGTTTTCTGTGGTTGTAGTTTTCAAAGAACTGACTGGTATAAATTTGAGAGCTTTTATAAATTTTACTGAAAATATTATAGCCTTTCAAATGGACCTTAGCATAAAAATACTTAATTGAATATTTAATTTAATCTGTGATTAAAATTAACAAGCAAAAACATAACTGCTTCAATTAAAATCTCTGTAAACCTTGTCCTATTTCTAAGCTCATGTACTTAATGAAAAATATCAAAAGTTTAGTAAAATGATCGCAAATTAATATGTGGTATTATAAGGTCTTGAAAAATAAATTAGCTCTAATGATTATTAATTAGTTTTGGAGCTTTCTGTTTCTACAATCATCTTAGCTCTATGAGTAATGTGACTAATTCTTGCCTACTGTATGTGTTTCTTTTTGTTTGTTTGTTTTTTGTTGTTGTTGTTATTCAGGGACCTCCTGGCTTACCTGGTCTCAAAGGTGATCCTGGCTCCAAGGGTGAAAAGGTGAGAAGAGTGCATTATTATTATTCTGATATACTAATAGAAGCAGTGATTTCTTTTACAAATTCAAATCATTCAAAAGGAAATTTGAAATATCTTGTCATTCTAACCATGGAAGATAAACTACCAATTTTCAGCTTCCCAGGCACATCTAGAGATGAGAAAGTATGCAAAATAATTGTGAAAAATGTACTAAACTTCAATATTATATCTTCTCAAAGTTTCCTTTTTAGGAACCATATGGAAAGAGCATATGGTTATACTAAACTAAATATTCAGAAAATAAACAGATGGAATAACAAAGTGGCCAACTTTGTTTTTAAACATGAAGATAAGTGTAAACTATAAATATCTTTCAAGTAGTAATTAACATCCTAGGATTTATACTATGTTACATCAAATAGAAAAAAAACAAGCCTCTTTAAGAATGGCATTAATATTGCTTGGGTTATTTTTAAATCATCAAATGTCTTTTAAAGATTGCAAGTCCCTGAAGAATAGAAAACATTTCATATTAAATGAAAGACTTACTGAATTAATCAGTTTTCAACTGTTTGTCACCAGTATTACATGCATATGGTAATAGGTCCTTTAAATTGAAGAATCCTCAAATGAAACATTGAAGATAGTATTTTTAGAAAGCATTTTGTTTCATAACATTCTCATCCCTTAATAAAGACCAGACCTAATGTAAGTGGTAAATGATCCAGTTAAATTAGAACAGAATCTGAATTCAGCATTCCATCTAGAGTAACTTTAATATACTTTATATTATTTATTTTTATGTTCCATGAATTTGATGTACAAATACTTTATGACTAGAATTGAATGATTGCTATAATTTATGTGTTAATAATGCTTTTCTGTTTTTCCCAAAGGGACATCCTGGCTTAATAGGCCTGATTGGTCCTCCAGGAGAGCAAGGGGAAAAAGGTGACAGAGGGCTTCCTGGAACGCAAGGATCTCCAGGAGCAAAGGGAGATGGGGTGAGTAAAAGTCTAGAGGATTTTTCCTGCTTATTTTCTGTAACACACACATGCACACACACACACACACACACACACACGCACATACACACTTTCACTTAAATACAATAAAAAAATCTAATTAGGAGCATTTGGGGCTGGAGATTTAGTTCAGTGGTTTAAGTGCCTGCCTGGCAAGCGCGAGGTTGTGAGTTTGATCTCCGGTACCAAACAAAGAAAAAAGAAAAAAAAAAAGAGCTTTATTCTATTATGTTTTCAAAAAGATTTTCATTTCACTTTAGAATACATCAAAAAATATATGATGTAAGTTTAAAAAGCATAAAATTACATTTCTGAAGTATTGAATCCTTATCATCTGCAAATGTTAAAGACTGCAGTATATAAAGATACACATGTGTACAACCTTTGTGTTATAGACTTACTCTGAAAGCTTGTACAAAGGGAAATAGTCAATTACTTTACAATTTTTTTTGGATTATCAATGGAAATATTATATCCTATGCCTAAGTATTTTCAAATTCTCTAATTTTTAGTGTCTATTTTTATGCAAGTGGAATAGTGGAGGAAAACTGATTAAATTGGATGATTTTCCCTCTAGGGAACTCCAGGTCCTGCTGGCCCCATAGGTCCACCTGGTGCTCCTGGCTTACCAGTAAGTATAAGAGCAAAGAACTTCATAAGGTAATACTAAGTCATAAGTATATCAAAGAGACAAGGATGATTCAGATTTTGATATGCTTTTGCCTTTGCATTTTCTAGGGACCTCAAGGCCCAAAGGGTAATAAAGGCTCTTCTGTAAGTACTTTTCCCTTGGACATTGCAACTGGTCAGTGAAGCCTATTGCACTGCTTCTCTTAATGTCCTGTTTCTGTTTTTTCTAACAGGGACCTGCTGGTCAAAAGGGTGACAGTGGTCCTCCTGGGCCTCCTGGGCCTCCAGTACGTACATATAAACACGCATAATGTTCTTATAAATTGTATCTGAAAAATGGCATTAATTTCTCTGAATTCTTAAGATGAATGAAAATCACATTTCTGTCCAAAAGTGTGATTTTATAGAAAATATAACCCTGTCAATTAAGTCTATGTCCCAAGACTTGTCTTTGAATTTATTTCACTCTTTCAGTGTAAAGATATTTTACTTACATATTATAATAATGTTAGTTTTTTTGAAAGAATCATTTAATTTTGTTCTGTTTTAATGAGACTAATTATATGCCACAAACATAAATTCATACCTGACTCCAGGACCAAAAAAAAAAAGTTCAGATGCCATAGCTATCATCAGGTTAATACAAAGCTTCATACACTATTAAGTGATGAAATTAAAATAAAAGTCTAGGTGAAAGAATATTTAGTGACCTTTCTTGAGCTAAAATGTTTGTGGAAATATCTGTCCAAATCTCTTTCTTTCGTTTATGAGTTAAATTTTCCATTTCTTCACATTGTCTTTTCTTCATGTGTACCTGTGCTTTTATTTTTTTTTCTCAAATTTTCTTTTTTTAAATATCACTTATACTAGATTCTATCCTATGCTACTGGCCTCATCTTATGTATTATATCTTCAGTGATCTCCGCATATAAAACATTCTAAAGTACTGTCATTTAGGAAATAAACATTTGATTTTTTGTGAGATAAAGTTTAACTCACAATAATATAGACTTTTTGTTGTGATTCTACTCTTAAATGTATGTACATTTAAATCTGTATTTAATCAAAATATTAAAGTATTAATGTTTATAATATATAAATTGAAGCATGCTAATATGTATATATTTTTAAATTTTAAGATTTCACATTATGAATTATTATGAAATTCAACAATTTTTAATAGTTTAAGATCTTTAAAATGCTGTTCTAATCTCCAAAGACTTTAAAATATAGTTGTGGATTTATACCAGGAACCAAATGAGTTGTGCAACTGCTTCAATATTTCTACTAGATTTTTCCTGGAAGGAATATGTTTTATAGTTATACTTTTATATTTTTTAGTTTTTAAAAGTCAAACCAAGGCCAGCATGGTAGTGCATGCCTGTAGTCCCAGCACTCGGGAAGCTGAGGACAGGAGGATTATTGTCAGTTTGAGGCCAGCCTGGGCTACAAAGTGAGCTCAAGACAAGCCTGAACCACACAGTGAAACCCTGCTCAAAAAGACTCCCCCTCCCCCAAATCAAACCACGATTTCTTCTAACAAAATCCATACTGGCAACAAAAAAATGTTTCAGACTATTTTACTTTAGGAGCAATTCCAATCACATTATCTCTCCTTATAGGGTCCTCCTGGCGAGGTCATTCAGCCTTTACCCATCCTGTCACCCAAGAAAACGAGAAGACATGCTGAAAGCATACAAGCAGATGCAGGTGATAATATTCTTGATTATTCAGATGGAATGGAGGAAATATTTGGTTCGCTTAATTCCCTGAAACAAGACATTGAGCATATGAAATTTCCAATGGGTACTCAGACGAATCCAGCCAGAACTTGCAAAGACCTGCAACTCAGCCATCCTGACTTCCCAGATGGTATGTTAATAATACATGATAAAGCAAATGTACTGAGCTGCTAGGGTACTGAAGTGCCTTGTCAGCTCAGTAAAGTTCTAATTAAATGTTTAATATAGTCTCTAAATAAAACTGAAGGAAAGCAGTATTAATTCAAGGTTTGTAGACAGCAAAAGTCATTTACACATCCTAATTGATGATCTATCTTGGGAAATTCTTGTCTGTTAAACAAAGTTTCATCAAGATCATCTTTAAATGATTATTGGTAACAAAGTATTTTGTCTGGTAAGTACTCACAAAATGGTTATTATGTATGTGTTATTTTGTCTTGTAAATAATCACAAAATGGTTATTATGTATGTGTACATATGTAGATACAACATGGTTGATAGTAACTTACTTTATGTTAATATAGTCAATGTTGAATTGAAATTATATTGATATTGTTAATCTATATTGATACTTTGATATGATAAATACTTTATACTAATATAAACCAGAAAGTATAAGCCAGAAAGTTTTGATGAAGGGACCCTTTAAAAATCCAGATAACTTGAGGCAAAAATTTACTTTTCAGTTCTTCAAAATAGCCAGAACATCTGTAAGTAACATTTAATAATGACAATCAGGATAATTCATTAATCACTATTTGACAAAAACTTCCCATATTTATTTTTCTGAGCAGGGAAGAGTTTCCAGTATGTTAAATTAATTGACTGAAATCGTCCATGTAATAAACTAACAAATGGTTTATGGTTATCTGATTTGAAATCTTTCACTTTGTACTGAAATAATTTGGACCTCCATTTTACTACAAAGAAAATATTATTTGCACTATCATTTATATGACAAATGTTATAACAGATTTAAATAATTGATGCAAATAAAAAAGTCTAGTGTAATTTGTAAGCAGATACCATAACAAAAAAATTTCATAAAAATTTTAATCAAGCACAACCTGTAGCAACTAAAATACAGGTAGTGATGCATACTGGTACCCAAAGTCTTCAAACTTACATTTGTTCAAAAAGAATCATTTAGTTCAGTAATTTATAGAAAGACACTTTCAACTGACAATAATATAAACAAAGTATTCAGGTGATTTGGTTTCAGCTTGTGCCACAAAGTTTTCCTATCTCCAATTTCAAATGCTTTGCCAATCATCAAAGCCCTATTGAGTTTGCATGATATTTAGATAAGAATGGAGAATATAAATCTACTTTGTGACTCATACTTTAGACTTTGATAAATAAAATTATCTCAAGATCAAATATAAAAGATTACAACTATACTGAATTACAAAATCATACATAATTTAGAAAAAAAAAGCAGGTGAAAAAAGTATTGTAAACTTTAGGAATGGTAAGCTCAGTGTACCAAGTAGTTTATATATATCACTTGGTCCATAAATTATTAAACATACTGTTTAAGTAAGAGTCAATATTTGTTTATTTATCAATTGTACCGAGTACACTATTCTTTACTCAAGGATCCATTGGTAAACAGAAAGAATGATGGACTTGAGCCATTTATTATCTCATGGTATAGATAGGATGAAATACTTAGGGTGTCATATTATGGTAGTAATTATAAATTTTGTATATTTATATAATTAAGGAATAATTCCAATTTCTTATATAAAATGTTAATGTTTAAAACTGCAACCTTAACGAGATAGTTGTCGTGCTAAAAATTGAAAGGGTATTCTATGCAGATGGTATAGAATATTTGCAGAGTTTTGAAGTATACAAAATCTTGATAACTGCAACCAAAAAAATGACACTGTGGCTGAACAACAGTGATAAACTAAAACAAAAAACAAAAAAAATTATTTGAAGCAATTTGTAAAGGAGAAGAGTTATCAATAAAATCTGGTTAAACAACTATGTACTAATCTATTAAAGATGTGACGGTGGCCTGACTTAGGCCTGTGGCAGTAAAAATGAGAGGTGGGTAAATGAGAAAAATTGAAATACTGTCCATGTGATTCAAACTACTTTTAAGCAAAGACACAGTAATTAAGCTATAAGCATATGTGAAAAAATATTGAATGCTACTTTTTACTGAAAAAAGTCAGATAAAATTATTTTCCCTGTTATTCAAATTATATATTCTAAAACACATAAAATATTAAAAACAATATGATTTTTCTTTAATGGATGAATCTTTTATGATTTTTTAATTGCTTGAGCATTTTTCCTGGGAAGCCCAATTTGTTTCAGATGTAAATATATAGATGATATAGTTATAAAAAAGACCCAGGCATGATCCATGCCTGTAATTCCAACACTTGGGAGGCTGAGGCAGGGTATATTGCAGCAACTTAGAGGCCAGCTTGAGCTACAAAATGAGTTTAAGGCCAGCCTGAACTATAAAGCAAGACTCTGCCTAAAAAAACAAAAAGCAAAAAGTATGAATGTAAGGTATTCAGGCTACCTAACCAATATTAGAAGTTGTTGGCTATCAAAGTACATTCTAGTTTATGTGTAGTAGTAGATTTGTGTAGTTTTTCTAATTTTAATACTAAGAACTTTTTATGGAATTTGAGTTTTTTTCTTTCTTCTTCCCAGTAATGGGAATTGAACCTTTGTATTGAGCTACCACGCCAACCTTTTTTTATTTTTTAATTTTAGACAAAGTTCTCACTAAATCTCTATTTTGCCCAGGTTGTGTTTCAGCTTGTGACCTTGTAATCCTTCTGCCTCAGCCTCCCAGACTTGGGATGATAGGCATGTGCCATCATACACAGCTATTTGAAATTTTAATAAGTAAAAAGTTCATGACTGTTATATTTAACTAATTCAAATGAATACTTGATGTTGCAGCATAAAAAATGGTAGGGAAAAAGCAAGGTAATTATCACATGTGTATCAATTTTCCTCTTAATAATGCAAGTTAATAACTTTTTTATCATTTACATAATGAATGACATTTCTCCCATTATTTACCATACTTATTCACATAACACCAAAACAATGCTCATGATTACTCACAACATATCATTTGTTCTATAGCATTTTAATAGTGGCATTAATGTCAGGTTGAATTTAAATATGTGAGTAGCTTTCCTTCCTAGGATCCTATTCAGATAAAAACAAAATATTATTGCAGTAAGTTTTTACTATAAATTAAGTCAAATATATGATCTCAGGTTAAATAGATACTGTATTGTTAGAGATGAATAAGCCAAGAGAAAATGTATGGATTATTATACTCAGATTGTAGATTATAAAACTGAAATAGTGCATACAAGATTAAGGATCAAGTATTTATGATTCTAAAGTGCATGCAGTTTGTTATACATGGATAAACAGACATTTAATATTTGTAGAAGTGATATGTAAGGCAAATCCTAAAAGTGGATTGGTATGCTAAAGCCTACACAAAGTACTCGGATAGAATATATGTGCCATTTACAAAGATTTGAGGCAGAAAAAATATGAGGTTGCTAATTATTCATGAGAAAGAAAGAGAGAGAGAAGAAAAAAAAACAAGGAAAGAGATCTGTGAATATTCATTTTCTCTATATTTTTCTAATGGAATTTGATATCCAGAGTCTTTGATTTGCACTGTCATTGAATCTGCATATAACATTTTCTCCTACCTTCTAGGTGAATATTGGATTGATCCTAACCAAGGTTGTTCAGGAGATTCTTTCAAAGTTTATTGCAATTTCACATCTGGTGGTGAGACTTGCATTTATCCAGACAAAAAATCTGAGGGAGTAAGTACCAATCTGTTTTGGTGGCGAATGTTTACAGTTCCTGCCATGTTTTTGCAATATTGAACTAAACAGGAAAATTATACTGTCATATTTTCATTTATCTGCTTTTCTTACAGTATAATTAGAGCATCCATTTGCATAAACACCAAAGTGATGCTTAGAGTTAACAAATACTTCTTTCCTTTATTTTTTTTACCCACATGTATTCTTTAGACACCTGCTTACTCTCTAAAATTTTATCACTTTCTATGACACAGCATAGCTGAATTTCAAATTTGAGTTCATGAAGAGTAGTCTTCTGCCCAATTACCACATGGTAGAATTCACAGCTGCATATTTGCTTAAAACACAAAGTTTTATAAAAATTCAATCTTTTATATTAAACTAAGAGTATTCCTTAAATATGCATTTAATATGTAACCTCTTCCAACAAATTTATTTTCACTTAGTAGTGTCAGTATCACTTAAATTCTATCTTTAATGTTACACACAGATTATTAATAATGAAAGATGTTCATTAACCTAATAGTATTTTTGAGCATTTTTTATGAATGATATTTTGTCTTTATTGTATCCCATTTTTCTTAGTAAATGGCATGGGCTTACATTGAATCTACATAAGACAAAGCAAGTAGTATGTGTGACAATTCTTTGTATAAGAAAAGTTAAGTTTCTGATTTAAGACTGGAGAGTAAGTGCATGAAATAAAGAAATTTCTATCTCCCAACCTCACTTGACTCACTCACTCACTCCCAACCTCTCCCAACTAACTCCTCAACCCTGGAGAAATGTGGAACAATGGAAAATTACTTCTTCCATACTGTTTATTCAAAATCCCTATTGCAAGGTCTTATAAACTCGTACAACTGACTAATTATTACAAAGAAAATCAATATATAGATACCTCTAAAAGATTCTAAATATTTTTCCTACCAATGACTTTTCCAAAGCATCCCACCATTGGTTTCTACCTAAATATTTTCAGAATGTCTTGGCTATACAATGCCCATGTTGCCTTGCTATTTGATGCTAATGGATAGTCTGAGTGTCTTCTTTGCAAGGGGTTACCTAAGAGTTCCACTGATACCCTCTGTGATCCTCAAAATTCCTTTACTGTGTTAGTTTCCCAATTTTTTTCAATGATTTAAAGAGATGATGAAGGAAATGGCTCAGTTTTCATTACATGACATTGACAGAATCTCTGTAAAATTTTGTTCTTTATTTCAGTTGTATAATACTAAGTAGCTAATATCTTAAAGATGGGTTAGCATATTACTCTTGCTAAATTTACTGATATATTCATGATAATTTTTATAATTTTCACATACTCTAATTTTCTGATTCCTTTGCAACAGGTAAGAATTTCATCATGGCCAAAAGAGAAACCAGGAAGTTGGTTTAGCGAATTTAAAAGAGGAAAACTGGTATGTTATTATCATAAAATGAAGTGGTTTATCTCACACTCCAAAAAAGAAGCCACACTTATGATATCCCAATTCTGACTGTGAAAATCTAGGTTATAATAAGCAGATTTTCATGTCTTCTTTAGATTACTGCTTCTGGTATCTGTCATACCATTGTGGTATTTTAAAGCAGTCTATATTTTATTAGAGCAAATGGTTATATATTAAATTTAATTTTAAAAATTGCCAAAGAATAAGTTCATTAAATACTTGATATAGTCATGAAATGAATTGTGCTCAAATATATCGGAGATAAGGGACCATTAATTTTCTGTGACTCCTATTTCTTGTGTTTGCTTGAAAACTAGTTTGATTTTGGTTCTCTATTTCTCTAAGAATTTTTGGGTTGTGCAACATTTGTGATTGTTAACCTTTGTGAATATCGCAAAATCACTACCTTTTACTTGTGTTACAATGTAAATTTACTTAAATAGTTCCTTGATGTTACCACCTCATTTTAATAATATTCTAAATATATTTTTAAAATAATATACCAAAATTAAATTCATATTAAAAACTATTCAAAATATGTGTAGGTATTTAAATTAATTTCAATTAGTAATTATTCCAGTTAAAGTCTTTCTTATGATTAACTACTCAAATTTTTAAAAACTATTATTTTCCATTGATGACAATTTATGCACTTAATATTTCCTATACAAACTCATCTGCATTAGTGAAGTTGTAATAAAGTTTTTCTTTGATTTAACATTCCTAATTCGATCCTCCAGATATGTATTACATATTCACATTACATTCTTATTTGTATATGAGTTAAATATACAGATAAAACTGTTTGTGTAAGTATTGGCTTTATTTTGGGTCTTTTTGTTTTCTTTATAGTACATTTCTCAAATAGAAAGTTTTCTATTCTCACTAGGAAACTCACTTTATATTATCTGCTAATAAAGAAAAAATAAAATGATATATAATAAGAAAGTCATAGAAAAAATGTTTTCTATTGACAATCTGAGAAAATTTTTAATTTTTAAAAAGATTGACTTATGGAGCTGGGGATTTAGCTCAGCAGCATAAGCACCTGCCTTGCAAGCAGGCGGTTGTGAGTTCGATCTCTGGTACCGATGCAAAAGACAAAAAAAAAAAAAAAAAAAAAACATAGACCTATATAGTATATTTATGTTCAGATAATTCAACTATACTCGATAAACTATGAAAATGATACAGGACAGGTACTAATAATTTACAATTAGGACTATTTTCCAGCTAACCATAAAAAACATATTGATTCTGCAAGCTTTCACTCATGGTATCTTTGTCATTTTGTTTGGGGCTGCTGATAAAATTGTGAGTTTCCTCATCATCTCAGAAGGGACAAAGACATGTCCATATTGAATAGAGAAGCCAAACTAGACACCTTACAAAACTATTGCCCCTAAATAAAATCTGTAAGAACATGATTGAAAATTTGGACAAAATAATGACAGTTTTGAAAAGTGCCAACATATCAAATGTATACCAGCTAATCTTATCACTACACTGAGATCCTTGGTTTTCATTGTTCCATTAATTTATAACCTTTTTAAAATGGAAACAAAAATATAATGAGATATTTCTTGGAATCAAGAGCATTGTAGTCTACCATTAACTGATTAGGAAACCAAAGCCTAGAGATAAAGTGATTTTTTGTCAAAGATAAGCAAGCAGTGGTTACAGTAGACAGTGACATTTAGAGGCAGTTCTGAATCCATAAAACCCAGTCTCTAGCTCCTCTGCCCCTCTTTTTCACTGGGTTAACTCATCTATATACAGTTTCCTGTCATTAGTGTTCTATTCTTTCTGAGGGAAAGTGTCTTTATGTCACTTCTAATCTTTTATTTCCAGCTTTCATATGTAGATGTTGAAGGAAATTCCATTAACATGGTACAAATGACATTCCTAAAACTTTTGACCGCTTCTGCTCGGCAAAATTTCACCTACCACTGTCATCAGTCAGTTGCCTGGTATGACATGTCGTCAGGAAATTATGACAAAGCACTTCGGTTTCTGGGATCAAATGATGAGGAAATGTCCTATGATAACAACCCTTACATCAAAGCACTGTATGACGGCTGTGCGGTGAGTGTAATCTCTGTTTGCCTTCTTTCACAAAGTGGAGAGGCAGAATGGAAAAGCCTCAGTTTGGTACCAAGCTAGATTTCTCTCACAAAATGGATTTCAATTATTGTTAAGATATGATGGAGAACACTGACTTATAAAGAGGCAGAACATTAGAAACCACTAGTGTTCACACACGCGCGCACGCACGCACACACACACGCACATACAGCAGCACTCAGAAATATACAGACACATTTTTGAAACCATAAAAAGGCAATCTCAGATCATGTGCTATTTTATTTCTCACATTTGGATTGCACTATTGCATTATTATATAATAATGGTATTGTATTTAGTTATTTTTACATTAAAAATATAATGTTTACTTAATCTGTGCTTGTACAGTGACAGAAAGGAGTCACAACTGTACCATTTATAACATAGATAAGTTTTATACTTTCATTTTGTTTACACGGAGCTTCTCAACATTGTTATAGCAGCTTGGAAGCTATTGTGATTTTGTTTTCTTTATCCTGCAGACACATGACACACATGGGAATTTGACATAATACCTAATTGCATTATCTGAGTACTTATGACTAAAGAGAACTCACAATTACAAATTAACAAATTCACAACTTCAGCAACACTACTGTGATATGTTAGAATAAAAATGGGAATGTAAAATCATGAAGCGGAATGTGGGAAAAAACATTCTCAGTACTAGTGAATTGTTGAGTATAAAACTAATGATAGCAGAAATGTTTTGATTTTAGACCCTCAGCATTGCAATTTTTATATTATAATAATAAGAGAATCTGACCATATAATCTTAACTATAATGGTAAGAATATATTTAGATAAAATCCAAACCAAATCAATTTTATTATTAAATTACATTCATTTCCTACTTACATTTATCAAGGTTCTACTTAACTGTGCTGTGTATGTTAGAGTACAGTGAGTAATGGCAGCTAATAGTAAATGTAATTTTCAGTATTCAGTATTTAAAACTGTGTGACACGGTGAAAACAAAATGCAGTACAAACTGATAAAACTGGTTTTCGACTCTTCAGTCACTCGCCTTCTTACCTCTACTCAAAAGCACAAGAACAAATAACAATTTTATTAAAAATATTAACTAATCATGTAATTTTTCACTTCTGCTTCATATTACAGTCCAGAAAAGGTTATGACAAGACTGTGATTGAAATCAATACACCGAAAATTGATCAAGTACCTATCATTGATGTAATGATCAGTGACTTTGGTGATCAGAATCAGAAGTGTGGATTTGAAGTTGGTCCAGTTTGTTTTCTTGGCTAACGTTAAGTGAAAGAACCCATGAAATCAACAGAATATAAACTTTGGTGCCGCCAACCCATTTAATGCCTCATGCAAGTTTTAAATAAGGATGGTATAGAATACAACTCGGTATGTATACTGTTACCATGTAGGCAATAACTGCTGCCTTCAGGGGGCAGAATCACTTGAAAACAGTTTTGAGAATCATAAAGATGTAAGGTAGTGTGTCTGAGATGGAAACAAGGTTAATTCTTGATCCTTGACCCTCTTTCCTATTTGGATTTCTTTGGTGCTGTAGAGAAAAAAAAAAAAAAGAAAAGTTTATATTCATAAAAAAATATGGTGCTTACCCCCATCCATCAAGGATATGCTAAAAAGTTTGTTTAATAAATTGTAATTATTTTATGTACAGTTCTATACTGTTATCTATGTGTTCATCTCCAAAACTTGCACGTCTTTGAATCCCATTTGACTCTTAATTTTATGACAATTATGGAACAATGATGGCAATAAATATATGTATTTCAAAAATAAAGTTGTAATTCCTGATGATTCTAATTTCCTTTCTTTGATTAATAATAAAATGCCTTTGTATATATTGATTTTGAAGAGTTCACTTATTTGATGTCACAAATGGATTTAGGCAAAACCTAGAAGATCTTTGGGAGCACACTTCAATCACCATCTCTATTGACAATAACTTTGGTGAATTTCAGCCAAAATATCATGTATTTTGATGCTTTATTCAGTGCTATACCTCAGCATTTTCTTTTCAGAACCCAAGATTTCATAGGATCCTTATATATGAAGAAAAAAACCAAATTTGTATTTTTGGACAATGGAATATGTATGATAAATTGTTTTAAAAATTAATGCATCTTTCAAGCATTTGTACTTGTGTACATATTTTCTCTACTTTATCTCATCCCATTATCAGTGTACTTCAATATTACAAATTAATACTAAAGGTAAAAATGAACCATTTATTTATGAATTTGTGCAATGTTAAATTTTTAATCAAGTTCCTGAATTAGATTCTAACTTGGATATTGCAGTAATTTCAAATGTGATTGTACCTTCCAAACAAATACTGTTTCTTCCTTTTCAAGATAATTTCATTCATTATTTGCCCAACATAATAAAGTAACATAAGAGTGGATTGCTTTAAATTCATATTATTAATGATAATTAAAATATTTTTTCTGCTAGGTATTTTCTGTCAGCTTAAAAAGCATTAAATTTAAAAACTACAAAATGAACTTTGTATCTATTTTAAATAATATATGTAAGACTTGAAAATAAATGTTTTATTATTTCTTATATGAAGTGTTAAATTAATTGATACCAGATTCCACTGGAGCATTTTCAAATGATAATTTATCACAAAAGAGCCTACTTGTAATATTGCAAATAAAACGTGAACATGTTATCCAGAACTTCTTTTATTTTTCAAATCTAATTTGTAAATGTCCTTTCAATAAAAGGTATATGAGTCATATAAATAAACTTAAATCTTGTTTACCTGGATTGGTCATTCTCTTTCTTAGTTTCCAAATTACTCTTTTGCAGAAAAAGCTTTTAGGGCCAGGCGTGTAGCTCAGAGGCACAGCGCCTGCCTGGCAAGCGTGAGGTCCTGAGTTTGATTCCCAGTACCAAAAAAGAAAAAAAGTTTAGATTTTCTTTCTTGACCATCCAGATTAGAATATTCTTGCACTTTAAAAAAATATTAGCCTTCAGAAATGTGTTGTTTCCTTTGTGTGAAATACTAAACAGGACTTGGTAATATATTTCTAAAATAAATATTGTCATTGTCAAAATATCTCTCATAAATTCATAAAGTTGTACAATTAAAAAGTTGCAGTCTGAAATACGTGTTGGTCATTTTAACATTAAAAATAAATCCTTAAATCATACATAAAATATCATCAAGGGTTGTATACATCAATTTGTATTAAAACATATAGCAATGAAAGAATATTTTATTAGCCTATATCAGCAATGTGACGTTATTTGTCTGTTTAAATAAAATAACCTTAATTCTGGGATACACCAGAATGAATAATAGAAAATGAGTTTTCTATGTTTCTCTATTCATATATAAATATGGCTTTCTGCATAACAACAGATTTACAATTTCAGGTGATTGATTTTATCTGGACAAAAGATGTTTAATGAAATAAAAAAGCATACTGTTGGCCTCTTGGTACTAGTCACTGCTTGTGCAAGTTGTTTGTGTGAAAACAGTAGAGAATAATATTGACCTTATAAAGGAGCAATGTATACAGACCCAGTACATACAAAAATTGGTAGAACTCTACAAAATGCTTCAAATACAGAATGAAACACAGAAGTGACTGTTGAATGAGTACAAAGAAAGGCAAGTTTTCAAGCATGTACTCTTTACAAAAATATGAGGAAACTGGAAAATGGCATTTATTAACTTTCTGATATTTTAGCTATATACTGTATAGACAATACTTTTATTCTGTTTATGCTATTATCCAAGTGTCTCTTCATAAGAGAATGTTGTAATTACTCATTTCTCAAATATGGTAGATCAAAACCACTTTCTGTTGTTAAAAGGTTAGAAATATTTGCTTCACATATGACTACTGTACTATAAATACTTTAGATTATTTTTAAATTTAAGAAAATCTCTATTTGATTCATATGTATACTATCAAATTAGTGAATATTTTCCAGACTATCTTATGATTCTATATATTTTAGATCTTGGTTCTACTGTGCTGCAAATAAATTTCATGTTCTGTCACCATGAAACATACATACCTTTTTACAAATTCTGTCATTGGTCACTGTTGTATTTATTTGGCAATATGACTATTCTAGAAAACTATTGCTGCTCTAGGATGGTTGGCCTTCATTATAAAAACTCAGGCTATGTAATTATACTTCACCATATATATTAACACAAACCCAAAACGTGAATCCCTTATTAAGTGTCCTCCTCTTTAGCTATTTCCACACCACCCAATACAAGAAACAATGGGAAAAAGTGTAGAAACAAAGCGTCCTTAAGTGATCATTGTCAAAATATCTTATTTTGCCCAATTTTACCAATTATATGACTGTTAGAAATTTTGAGGGCTTGAAAAGGAACTAATATAAGAAAATTGTCCTGAAGCTTAAGCTTTATTAGGTTCAGATTACCCTGCTGTATGCTGTATAATTGTGAAATATAAAAGTTAATTAAGGTTCTATCCCATATGAATTAAATATACAGCTGTTGCTTCTCTAGATTTCCTACTGTTAAAGTTATCACCACCATATAAATTCATTTCTTCCTTGTAACTAATATCACTGTGTACTATCTATATAAAGATTTAATTTTTGAAAATCAAAAACTTATACAAATTGTATGACTGCTGAATTCCAAACTATTGTAGTCAAATATAAGCTTTTCAAATGTTTTGGTGACAAGAAGTCTATTTTCATCAGAATTAGTTTTAAAATCCCTTTGTATTTTAGTGAGTGGTGGAATGTGTTTGGCTCTTCAGAAAGGTAAATTTAATATGGTTTGGGATCTCTTGACTTCTACATTTTGCTAGTCCCATTTCCATAGACTGGCTGTATGATTAACTATTGCTCAGTGTAGCCACAGCCCAGAGACCCATAGATTACAGGGTGATTTACAGTAAGTATCTTATTGAAAAAATACTCATCTTACAGCATTCCAAGCGCAATAACCTCTGCCTAGAAAACCTGCAGGATCCTTATTTATTTTCTGTCTAGTAAATCTAGCAGTCAATATTTATAAGGAGGCTGTCCGGAGTGGAAAACCAGAAAAGCTACAGACCCACTGTTAATTTCCCTTTAAAAAACATGAATTAATTTCAGAAATGTTTCATGTCACAATAACTGAAACTTACATAGACACCTCATATGAAGTTTCTGCCCATAAGATTATTTATAGGAAGTTAAAATCATATATACATCTATAATCTCAAATTTCTAATTTATATATATACATATATATATATATATATATATGAAAATATATATATGAAAACAGACCAGAAAAAATATTGTAAAAATGTTTTAACACTAAACTTATTGAGACATCATGAGGTTGCTGCAGGTTAGTTTCAGCCTCTATAATTACAAGAGATGCTGAAAGTGGTGACCATTACCTTCTAGCCCTTTATTAATACAGTGAACTGTGGGTGAGTTACCTTGGTCACTGAGATTGCTGCACATGCATTTCAGTTTCTTGTCCAACGGCTCACAGTATAGTTGTTGTTTTTATGATGTATGGCATGCTCCAGGTCCCTCCCTATATGAGAGTAACGTCATCTGTTGAAAAAATAATGCTATATTCTTTCCCTGAAATGTGTGTACATTTTTGGAAGACTTTGTTAGGTATAAAGAGGTAGGAATTCCTTTTTTTTCCATAATGGAAAGCTTTGCCAATAATCAAAGTAACACGCAAACCCATCTTAGATGTTAGTAGCATGTCAGAGTGTAAACTGTCAGCTGCCTAACTTTACCATTGTTTTAAAATCTTTTCTATAAATAGTTGGTCTGCCTTTTTAAAAACTTATTAAAGTCAATGAGTCTCTTCTGAGCACAAAAGAATATTAATCTAAAAAGAGAAAAACTTGTTTTCTCAACCCTTACGACTATGTCCAAACTAAACTGAGTGAAACAAGTCTTCAGACTAACGTACTGTACTAATCAGTCAAGTCAGCACAGTGAAAACATGTGGGTAGCTATTAATAAAACAAGTTTGACCATTTTATCCATTTCAGAAAAAAGTAAGATATGTTTTTTAAATTACCAAATAAAATTTCTCTTACTACCACTATTGTACTAGAAAAATGTATTTTCAATATTAAATTTATATTTACATAATGAAGAATTTTATATGTATAGAAAAAAGCTAAATTCGCTTAATAGTCTATGCTATTATCTAGTTATTTACTCAGAAAGTTAGATTTTTATACTGGTACTGAGAGAAATAATGGAAAATGAGGGAATATAAGAACAAGCAAAGTCCTAATACATTTATTACATAACTAAAAGTGTAAAGGCTACATAAGCAAAGTTACATTGAATTTTCATTTTAGATTTTGTTTAGTTGAAATTCTCATTTGGATTTTTAAGTGAATATTTTTTAAAGATGTAATTAGAGGCTATTAAATCATTTAATAATAGAAAATAAGATCAGCATATAGCCATTAATAAATTAACAACCAAGCACAGGATTTATCACCAGGATCAGTATAGTTTTCTTTAAAAAAAAAAAAAAAACTTTACAAAGAATTATACTAAAAGATATTTGCTTCTATCCTTATTTATATAGTCATCTAAAAGAACACCTTATTATCGAGTTTCTAACTAAAAGTTCACAGAACTAAAAGAGCACTATGACAAAGCTATTAGGTCTCTTAAGTATTTTTTGGTTTGGATGGGTATGTACGGAGGAGTCCATATAAGGAGGAAATCCATGAGGGACCTGCAGGAACACGTGTGAGTTTGGCATGGAGTCTGATGAAGCATTGGAGATGGAGGTCATGGTACTGTTTTTCCAGGCCTGTGCATAGGATGTTGTTAAATTGGTTTGAAATTCACCCAAAGAAATTAAAATATTAGCCAGCAGATAACAAAGAATGAAGGCAGGCTCATGAGCAGGGAAAAGTCACAATAAGAGTCATATTTAGAATGAATATATTGGCAGGCTTTCTAGATTCTACAAGGTAGGAACTGTGATTTGAATGCATCAATAAGATGGGGACCAAAAATCAATGGACTGTTCCAGAAATTTAAATGAGAAGCAGTGTAGATTTGGATTATGATATGCTTGAATTATTTAGAGTGTAAGGAAAAATATAAAACTTTTAAAAAGAGACTATCATTTTAAAGTATATTACCCACTCACTGGATATACCTTAAAATAACTTTTAGATGCTTACTCTTTAAAAATATATATCAAATAGAAAAAGGAATTTTTACTAAAATGAAAAAAATCAGACAAATGTCAGTGAAATAAATGACACTGGCCCAACTCTATTAGTTGTGTCACATCCTTAATATCTCTCCTATACTACTGTAGGGACTTCATGTAAAAATAACCTGGAGTTACTAATATAATACACACCATGTGGCATATGAGCAAGTGCCTAACTGCTGTCTAAATAAAAGTGTATGTATGTTATCATACACAGAAGGCATTTACAGAGAAATTAACTGCTAAAATTTTGTTATACACTTTTGTTTGCTGATGTTGAAATTTCATAAGTAAAAAGAAAAACAAAAATTGGATGGAAAGTGTTGGAAATAGTTATACATAATTAATATAAAAAGTATTAATTAGCTAAAAAAGATCAGAAAAATAAGCTACTCAATATATATTTAAATACATAAGTGAGCAAATGGAAAATATTATAACTCTATTACCTGCCCCTCAAAATCAAACTTATTATAGGTAGGTGTGTGCATTGCTTCTATCTTCTTAGCACCATTTATGCATTGATCTAGTATAAATAATTTCATTTCCTCCACTATTT